AACTTTGTCTTCAAAATAAGGGTGCATCTTATATTCTGAAAAATATGGTAACTGATTTTTACCAATAATTATTCTATGAATATGCCACAAATTCATTTCATGAATTATAATTTGGATTGTCTTACAAAGAAATATACTAACGTTTAACTGCCTCGACTGTATATTTCTGCCCCTTTGTTGGTCAAGCTTGATATTTCAAAATTTATTTATTTCAGCTAGCTATGAAATGTGAAGTTGGGGTATACTATGGAGGTGGTAGTACTTGCCCCGTCATTTTTGACGGGCTATACACTAGTGTGAAGATAATTTTGAGTACTTGTAAGAAACAGTTCTAACAAAAGTGGAGAATTCGCTATCATTAACTACAGCTTAAACAGTATTCAAAATATGGAAAAGTTAGTACTTGTAGCTGAATATATTCTGTTACTCGTAGACATGGGTGTAGCTAGACATATGCACCTACACCAAAGCATAACACTGAAAATTCTAGGTACAAATTGTCTTTGATATAAAATCTTAATCTAATAATTTTCTCCCAACAAAATATAGAAAAAAAAGTAATGCTAGTAATAAAAGTTAATTTTTACAGTACTTGGTGTCACCTATATGGTTAACTTTCTATAATTATATATGCAGAAAAGGTTATAAGAATGTGCCATTTCTGTTTTGTTTTTCAAAATTTCCCTTAAGAGTTCCCCTGATCCCCACCAGTAGGAGGGAAGGAACCCCCTCACACATCCTTCTCCCATACATAACTAAAATGTACACATGATACAGAGGGTATTAATGGTGTTAAAAACTGTTTAGGAGATTGAGTAATGATCTTTCAGATCATTTTATGTTTTAGATTGATATAAATTATGATATAGACCAGCTTTAGAACCTGCAGACTTGTGTTTTCATGATAAGACTGCACACAGTACTGTTCTTATGTTCAGTGGTTTACTTCGTGAACTGATTGGAATGTAATCACACTGTACTGTACTTGCATCTTGGTGACAGAAGACACATTCAGCATGTCAAATTTGCTTTCTTTGGTTTTAATTTTAAAGGTTCAGCTCTACCACACAAAAACACACTTTTTGTAATTGATTCAAAGATATTTTATGTACATATAATATGCATTAGATTTAATAATCAGAGTAGTAATGCTTGATTCCTATGAACATCTTACATTTTGCTCTGTACTGTCTTGCTTTGCTTTTCTTATAACTCTTATTGGGTTCATTTTCAGGTTTTAGGTAAATGTGTGGTTCTAAAAATATTTCATACAAGTATTGGGGTTTAGTGGTAAAAATAAAATCACAAATTAAGATTTTCCATTACCAGCTAGATTTAAAGTTTTTGGAAATTTTTACAAAACTTTATTCAAGTTTATGTTCGTGCAGTAATTTACCAGTTATGGTAGAAGCCGTATTTGTAAGTTGTTTAGTTTTCAGTAATGGTGCTTTCTCATTACTTTTTCATTGCCTGTACCACCTTTTCTAGCTCATTCTTGTTATCTTCAATCCATTTTCTGATGTCATCAAGTGAGTCTGCCTTTTTCTCTCTCTCCTTTCTTTGATTTTGTACTTCTGTCAACTTTTTTTCAGGTCTAATTACATACCCAAAGTAGTGATTATTTAATTTTCTGCATATATCCAATGGTTGTCATTTTATTTATGCCTATTCCACAACTTCCTAACTTTTTCGTTATGTATACCTGTTCTTCATTGTTTGAAAATATTACCAAATTTCAAATGGTTTCAACTGTCATTTTCTATGAGTAGACAGGGTCAACATTACCACCCTCTATAACAAGACTGGCTAAATATGACATTTTAATAGTTTTCAATGCTGGTTTAACATGTGTTTAGAAATCCTTTAAGATTTGAAGAATGCTTGTTATTCCTATCTTTCATTTTGTCTCATTTCAACACTTGCCATTACTACTGATATTTGTCCCTAATTTGTCTAATATCAAATGTTCTTAGGCAGGATGGCTGTGGAAACCGCATGACTTAGTTTTGATATTTTTTGGTATATTGTACCATGAAATCTAGTCTGAAAATGTGTTACTTTTTCTGGTGATAATTTTACACTTGATTATATTTTGATAGGTTATATCAAATATTTTTTTTTATAAATAAATATGCATCACTTTGTCCACCATCAATGTCCTCCTTTGAAGACTTTCCCTGTAGTATCATAGTGTGAAGACAATAGGTTCGTCTTTGAAAAGCACTCGGGTTATAAGGTATTGCATTTTTATGTTAAATTAATTTCATTAACTTGCATGTTTTTCTAACATCATGAATTAGTCTAAATTTATGTATGTTTTGGTTTTTGTTCCTATTTGTAACCAGAGTAAAATCTAAAGTTGTATTAACTAGTTAGAATTGTAGGAAAAGTTTAAATGTCAGTGTGTGTGCATTTCCAAGATATCAGGAATTTTTCCTGAAAGGTTAGGGGAAAATGTGGCCACTGTTTAGGATCCTTTGGTAATCCCCCTTCCAACATCCACATCCTGGTTACATTATTGAAGAGATGTATAAGCCTATTAAACATTTTAATGAACAAAATATGTATTATGAAGCTGATTTTTAATAGATGCCATGATGGATTTACTATGTTTGTCCTTGATTTTCAATATAGTTTTAGATATTCTGATCTGTTTTGATATTTCTCGGTAGATTAGAAGAATTAGATGAACAGGTACAAGTTAGGAAGAAACTGTTTTTACTAATGATACTGGTTTTCAGTGTTTTCCTAAGGTATTTTGTCTCTATTATTAAAATATATTGTGGAAGTAAGCTTGGCTTTTCCTTAAGTAGAAAATTCTACCTTATTCATACTTAAAACACAAAGTAACAGTATATCCCACTAGAGTGAAGTTTAAAATGGAGTGTAATAACCATGGTTACAGGAAATTTAGTACCCTTTGTGAGGTTGTGGTAAAGAAAGTAAAATGATTGTAAAAACCTGTTAAATCAGTAGTTTGAAGAACCACAACTAGAGAATATAGTCTGTTTTATGATTACTTGAGTAATTTTGACCACGAAGGGTAAGAATTTTTTCTATAATAAATGTGTAAAAAACCTAGCCATATCAGTGTTATATTAATACAGACAACCAATTAAATCTTCCCTTACTAAGTGAATTAGTTATTATCTTCGTCCGGTATTAATGTAAGGCTTACACCCTATATGGAAGCAATGAGAAGAAACTAATCTAAAAATCCAACAGAATTTAAACTTTTTACATCATTAGCTTGAACAGTGATGACTGTAGAATCCAAGAAACTATATCACTAGCTTACAAGACTGACCACAAAATTCAGTTTTAATGTGCAGGTTCTGTTGACATCTCAAGACAAAACTCTGAACACAGCTCCTTGCAGCTTTAACTGTGGTTTCTGTTGATATCTCAAGACAAAACACTGAACACAGCTCCTTGCAGCTTTAACTGTGGTTTCTGTTGATATCTCAAGACAAAACACTAACACAGCTCCTTTCAGCTTTAACTGTGGTTTCTGTTGATAGCTCAAGACAAAACACTGAACACGAGCATGTAAACAATAATGTGGTGGTCTTTGAACACAAATATAATCAACTACAGCATTATCAATAAACATTCCAGACGTTTAAGTTCATATTAATTAAATCTGGAAGTTGGGATAACATTGAAAATTTAGAAGATAAAAAATCCGTTAAATCCAAATAT